AATTTATTTTTTCCTTAAGTATCACTGACACAAGCGACACTGACACAAAAGGAACCCACAAAAGGTTAAAGATGTTGTTTTACACGTCATTAAAAAAAATTGCACATCCACCAGATGTGCAATTTATTTCGGCCCGTGTTATCAGATATATCATGACTTTCTGGCCCATATTATCAAATGTATCATCTTACCAGATTTTTTATCTGGTGATTTTTTTTCTGGCCCATGTTATCAGATGATACATCTGATAACATGGGCCAGAAAAACCTTTATTTTAGGGTAAGAAATAAGTTTTATTTATCAAGTAAATTATTTAATGCTTGAGATATTATCAAAATGAGTTACGTAAATTTTTTAATTTGACATTTTAAGCAACAATTAGGTTTAATTGTTTTACATCTTTTAAATTAAATATAAAACATATTTTTTTGTATTATATATATTGCAAAGCGATACAATGTATTTGTTTTTTGATGTTTTGTTTTGCTTTATTTCTGCTCCTAAAGTGTATAAAGAAAAAAAAAAAAAAGCGCAAACTGTAAGTTCTTTGTTACCTATGAATAAGTTTATTAGTTTTCAATTTTTTTGATTACTCAATTTTTTTTTTGAATTAAGTATTACGGAATAAAAACTGTAAATCTTGTCAAACAGAAAACAATACATTTATCAAGAATAAATAAAAAAACATCAAGAAAAAAAAGGCTATTTTGGGATCCCTGCTGTTTTAATATATTTCAATAATTTACATTTTGTATCTAATCTGTCAAATTTTATTATATTTACAGATGACTGTAATCTTTTTTATTCTCAAAAAAAAATATTGAAATTCTTTTTTGAAATAGTAAATAAAAAATTTAAAAAAGTGAACTGTTTACATGCAACAAGCAATCCCTAAATGTCGTAAAAATTCTCATTATTTTATAAATCAAAAATCTCTTTTATGTTGTCAAATAATTTATCAATAAAACTAGTACTAAAAGTCAACCATACGTTAATTTTTGCGGAGTCAATTTTGATCAAAACTCGTACAAACTCGCGAAAACTCGTGCAAACTCGTGCAAACTTCATATAAACTTTGTTAAACAAAAAATTACAAGAGATAATTTTATACAGAGTCAAGCCATTCTTAAACATAAATTTCTCAAACAGTATGTATGCTTTATTTATGCACAACTGCACAACCTATGGCAACAATTTTAGTACGAATCAGACTAAACTAAGCAAACTAAACAGCAAACAAAAACATGAATGCAGGATTCTATTTGGAGTAAGTAAAACCTTTTACGTATTTTAGGTGCTCCAAATAGTTTTAAACTAAAAATTAACTTTGTTTTATAATTTATAGTTTTATAGTATATATAGCAGCTTCTGATCCTGAATACTCAAAGCAAAAAACGTTAATTGTTCTTTTTAAATACTCGAGGAGCCTATTTACAAAGCGCGCTAAATTCGAGTAAACTAATTTTGAGAAAACAACGAAAAACTACTCTTAGTTGCGCATCAACAGAAAGTGATATTTTCTTTGTCCATTTTTAGGATCAAAAATATTTTAATTGGTCTAAGATTTAAATAGATGACAAATTTCAGTATATAGAATGTGGAAAAAGAATTAACTCAGAATTTTTATTTTTGTGACTTCACCCGTTTTGTAGATGAGCTCCTCACTTTGAATTGCATAATGAATTAAACTATAACGAATTAAATGATAATGAAATTACACAATAGAATCTATAATAAATTAAACGAAACGTCAAAGCAATCTTTCCAAAGAACCGCCATAAAAAGTTTCAAAAAAGTATAACAATTTTATTAAAAACCCTAGTATGTGTAGAAGTACTTAGCTGATAAGCAAATTAAAAAAAAACCCTTTTTTTATATTGTAAGTTTTATTTTGTTATGTTATAACCACGATTTTTTTTTTGCGATAATCTTTACGACAGTCTTTTTGTAAAACAAAGCAAAATTTTTAATATTCAGTTCAAGTGTATAAAAATATTTTTGTGATTGCACTTTGCAATTTTAAATAATTTCGACTTAGTTTAAATAAACTATATAGCTGCCTTCTGAATATAATTAATATATAGAATATTGAATATCGAGTTCCAAAAATTTTTGAATACCTACAATTTTTTAATCATATTTAACTGTGAGTATTCAAAAGATGCTCCTGAATACTCACAGCTAAGTATGAATTATCGTCTATTTTGAATAATTTTGCTATGATCACTGAAAAATATAAAATGATTTATATACACACTACTATGATCATTTTTATTAATACTATTTCTATTTTATTATAATATTTTTATAATGTTATAATAAAATAGATATGTAGAACGAGATATATGTTAAAGTGTCTTGTAAATTTTTAATATTACATATAAAAATATATTGCGATTAATTTCTTATAGATATTTATGCTAGGTATCCTTTAGAAATAAGTGGGGAGCACGTAGCCGCCCCCCTCACGTGTTATTGGCCAAGATATCTATAATGCGATATATGTTAAAACATATTAAATAAGTATATCAGTGTTGAGAAACTTGTTTTAAATATAAGAGTCATAACGTTAAGAGTTTTAAGAATTTAAATTATTAACTCTAGTTTCATATTTACATTTTTACATTTTTAATTTTTCTATTTGTTTTCAAATTTTTTTTTGACTCTACAGCTCCTGATTCCTAAATAAAATGAAAAAAAAAAAGATTTGTGTGGAGCTTGAACCAATTGCATTTTAAAAAGTTTTACTTCGTTTTTTGATAAGGTTATGGAACTTTTAGAAATCTTTATTTTTTAGGCGCATTTATCTCATTAATTTTATCTCATTAATATTAACTCGTAAATGTTATCATTAATATTATCTCATTAATGAAACGCAAGTCATTCGAATGCAAGCTAAAGTTTATAAAACTAAACTACGCTTATAATTGAAAAACTGTAAGTAAAATTGAAATCAAGCTGTTGGTGTATTTATCAATGCTAATTAATATTTTTTATTAAAGGAAAGTTACATCATTATTCCATCAAATGCATATTCTTAACATTTCCTTCTCAGTAAAATACTTCGCAAAAAGTATAATAAAAAAATAATAATGTTATAGCTAAAGCATAATACAAAAAACTCAAACAATATATATTGACAAATAGATTCAGAAAAAAAACTGGCTCAAATCCAAATAGAAATAGAGCATTGTAACTGGAAATTGCGGACATGGTTTTAGAAGAACAAAAAATGTAAAATGAAAAAGATAATATAGAAAGAACAGCATAGAGAAGCTAAAATAAACAAGTTTTTTATCATCATATTGGAAAAAATATTGAATAAAAAATTTAATTAAAAATTTGTAACAAAAATCTTACAAATAATCAGTTTCGCAAACAGTGGAAAAAGCCTAGGAGTCCAAAAAACTAAAATTATTTTCTGTTCCTCAAATTTTATCACCAGGAACTTTATCATTATAAAAGTTTATATAAAACTATATACCTGAAATGAAATAAAAGTTGATGATAAACAAACAAAAAACTTCTAAGAAACTTAAAAAAGTTCTTAAAAAACGAGAGTAACGGTTTTTGCATCATTTCTAAGATTATTTTTGTTAATTTTTTTTTTAAGGTACCTAATAACATGTTATCGCAAGTTATATATTTTCAAGGATGTGAACGCATGTTACAGACTGCGGATTATCGTGTTTTATGATAAATCTGAAAGCTTTACTATAAATAACTGTGAAAAAGTTTTGCTTATAAATCTAGATGCAGGTCAACAAATTCAAATTCGTTACTGATATTGCAATTTATTAATTCTATTTTTATAAAGACTTTAGGGTTTTAAAATAAAAAGCCTCTTTTACACCTTTCAAAACACTCTTTCTCACACCTTCATCCAAAAAAGATTTAAGTTTTGAATGGAGTAATAAATAAAAAAATTAAATAAAATTAAAAAAGGGGAACAAAAAAAATAAACACTCATAACTCCCTCTTTTTTCCGCCCTAGAAAACTCTACCGCAAATTACGTATAAAGTTATTTATTTTGAAATCACGTATAAAGTTATTTATTTTGAAATTACGTATAAAGTTATTTATTTTGAAATTATAATTTAAAATCTTTCAGTCAAGATTATCGCAGACGACTAAGATAATCTATAAATATTTTAAAGCTTATTTATTTGGTCGTTTCAGAAAAATAGAAAAGTAAATAAGAACAAAAACCTGGCGGTAAACATTAAAAGTATTTGATAAACAACTTTTTCACATATCTTATATATACATATCTAATATATAAGACAAACATCTTATATAATATAACATTTTGTTTACTTTACAAAACTGTTAATAACAAAATGCTTATCCATTGTGCATCAGCATTAACAAACTTTTCTTGATTTCTAATATTAACTAAGTAACAAACACCAACGCTTGACCTAAATTTATTTTTTTAAAGGAAAATTTAATCTTTAGACATTTGGTCGTTGTTTTGTCTAGATTTGGTAATTGGTTTTTAGGTCATTGAAATTATAACAAAAACCAAAAAGATTGATCCATCTAATTAAGACAGTTATTTCAAAAATTTGAGTGATCACTGATCAGATCAGAAAATTTCAGCAGATGGAATTCAAGATAAAAGAATATCAACAAAAATTACTAAATTATAAAAAAAAGATTGAACATATTGAAAGTTTGCCGTTTTCAGAATGAAACACTAAATATCAAACTTGCAAATCTAAATATCAAATTTCAAAACATTTAAAAGAACCGGCAACAAAAAATATAATTAATATAGACAGAATATTTGATATCAGCAGGAAATGTTGCATTCGAAAATAACAAACTTTAGGCAAGTAAAAATTTTAAAGACCGCAAAGCTTTTGGCCCAATCAAGTGATTTAGAAAACGTTTTCTCGCCAACATGCAAATCTAAAGTTGTGTGCAAAGGTTAATGACGCCGATTTGCAAACAAAAAACAAGCAAGCAATTTAAATCAATAAGTTAATGCCTTATCAGTGGCTTACTTGTTTACTGGGTCGATGCAACGGGACATTTGAAAAAAAGTTTGAAATGAGTTCGTTTTTAATGGAAAACATACTCAAAGAAGAATTCAATACAAAAAAATTCAGCTTAAAAAATCTCCAACAAAACCAACCGAGGTTAGAGTTTCAATGCATTTCACACAATACTAGTCCTGAATTTAAAACGAAAACTCAAGAAAGATATGAAAGAAATATTTTATTAGACGAATACAGTTGTTTTTCGCACTCATGTCATTTGTGTTACGGACAATTAAATTCTGATCCATTTAAGTTAAGTTCAAAAATTTCTTCGGAGCTACGGCGTCAAAGTAGTCAAGGTAAAAAGTTTTCTAAACAATACATTCAGTAATCAGATGGCTCGGAATAAATCTTTTTTTTATTAATATGTACTTAAACATATATATATATATATATATATATATATATATATATATATATATATATATATATATATATATATATATATATATATATATATATATATATATATATATATATATATATATATATATATATATGTATATATATATATATAATATATATGTATATATATATATATATATATATATATATATATATATATATATATATATATATATATATATATATATATATATATATATATATATATATTAAATAACACATTATTCCACACGCGTATTTACGTTTACGTCAGAATTAGTATCAATGTTCTCATAAATGATAGTGGTGGGAAATTTTCTCATAAATGATAGTGGAAATTTGTATCAGGAAAAGCTATTAATTAACTTTACATTAAAAATTTGGCGTAATTATGTTGAGTAATTTTGTGTATATAGCCAACGAAATAGTTGGATTTCATAAAAGTTTCAATTATAGAGTGTTAAAGTTAACTGCATTTTACTATAAATATACAATATCAAAGATACGTGAATTTACAAAAATTTACAGCAGCTGCAGATGCTTTATCTTCAGAAGTGATTTCTTTACCTATTTTAAGAGGTGGTTCCGTTATCTATATACAGAGATGATTCCGTTAATCAGATTTACCAATACTTTATAAACAAACTGTACAATAATAGATAGGTTAAAATTTTGTTGCTAGCGACAATTACTTTTAAATTTTATTGTCATTTGATTTTAAATCAGATTAATTTAAAGTTACACTATTTTTCTAAATTATCTACTTCCAAATCAAAAAAATCTTTTTTAAATAAAAAATAAAGCTGTTAGGTATGTGGCGTAAAATACCCATAGTTTAAAATTAATCATTTGAAATTTCCAACCATATATATAAAATAATTAACAGTTGTAAGTATTACTATAAAAAATAATATAAAAACTACACTAAAAATCGCAGTTATAAAAGCTACTTGTCGAGAAACAAAAGTAACAATAATTGAGAAATCCATTTGCAAAACGCGCTAAGTCCGAGTAAACTGATTTTGAGAAATCAACAAAAAAATAAACAACTTTTAGTTGTGTATCAACAAAAATTGATATTTCCTTTGTCCATTTTTAGGACCAGAAATTTTTTAATTGGTTTAATATTTAAATAGATGATAGATTTAAATATATAAAACTTGGAAATAGAACTAACTCAAAATTTTTTATATTTGTGAAAAAGTGCATTTTGCAAACGGGCTTATCAATTATAAAATCAAAATTTGAAATTTTAATTTTGATGTAGTTACAATTACTTTAATACCAACCGGTATTAAACTAGTTTAGAAATTTGTTATTAAAGTAAGTGTTAAATAAGCGAACTTCGATTACATTCTTATAGTGTATTTTTATTTATTATACTGGATGTTTTAGATTACCCTGACCTAAACTACATGGAGCGCTCTTGTTTTTATTGTCCTACACAACATTTCATTTTGAATAATACAAATTTGAACACGGATAAACCATTCAAAAAGAATTCATATTCTTCACATTTCTTAAAAAGAAGACATAGAACAATTTTTTCGGACGAACAATTAAACGTATTAGAAAGATTGTTCAATAAAACGCACTACCCTGACGTTATTGTGAGAGAAGAAATAGCAGGAATAATAAATTTAACAGAAGAAAAGGTTGAGGTATAATTATCAGAACTTTAACTAATAAGTTTTTTGGAGACTAGCAGACTAGCTTATTTATCTAAAACCGTGAGGTTTATGGGTTGAAACATATGTTAATATTGATATAACATATTATAATGTTTTTATTGAACGATATAAAATCGATAAACAAATATTTTTGTTTACCGTTTTTATAACTAAAATAATTGCTTAAGCATTTTGTTATTTCTTTATTTTTCATCAACTTTCACATTTTTATTTTATCTCTATTCAAATTTTAAATTGATTTATATCCTTTATAGGTTAGAAATAACAAATAGCGTATTTACAGGTTACAAATAACAGATATATAGATCTAATTGTAAACCTTTTATAAATACTGAACCGACTTTAAAAGGTTATTTAAATCGGTTTTATCTTGCATATTTCATTTAAAAACGTTCTTTTCTCTCACTCCAGCCTGTTGCTAAGTGCTAATTTCATTTTATTTGCAGGTGTGGTTCAAAAATCGCCGAGCCAGATGGAGAAAGCAAAAGAAAGATTTGTCTGGAATTTATTAAAAGATTTTTTGTTGGAATATAAAAGATTAATAAATTTTGTAGATAGAACCCAAATTTTTTTTTTTTGTGATCTCAAATGTAAAATATTTAGTTAAAAATAATACAATTACTTAAACATTTTTTTTTTGTGCGCATTCTAAATTTATTTACATTTTTTTAAATTGTTAGAAATTGTTTTTATCAAACCGTAACGCAGTGGCTAGAATACTAATTTCGGGCTGTATGGTCCATAGCTTGATACCAGGTCTAGCTGTAAAAGCAAAATGTACATTTTGAAACAAATAGTTAAATAAAAAGATATAATGCTTAAAAAATATTTTTATAAACAAAAATAAAAACTATTCCGTAAGATTTAAAACGTAATGACTTTTCCATATTTAAATTGCCTTTCAGAAGAGTTCAATTGGTTAGGTCCTCTTTAAGTTATACTATATTGTGTGTATTTGTTTTATGTAATATAGGTAATTTATATGTGTTACTTTGATTTATTCTTAAGAAATACTTCTCATTTAGATTTTTAATTACTTATAAAGATTTCAGGAGTTTATTAGTATATTTATAAAAATAATTTTAATTTGAAATTAGTCTTCAGAAGGACGTTTTTTGACGTACAATGTTTTTGTTTTTTATTTTTTTGTTTTAGTTTTGTAAAAACATCTAAAAGACAACTAAAATATGTCTTTAAAATCACCAAAATATATTTTATGTTTCGTTTATAAGCTGTTTTAAATAAGACGTCCTCAAGCAGTTGTACTAGGTCAAAATATTTTCAGAATTTTTTTTTTAATTTAAAAAACAAAGTTTATGTAGATTTGCAAAATGTATAATTTTATGACAGAAAGAATAACACAACTCAAAAATAAGCCCTCAGCAATATCATAGCAACAAGCAACAATACTTACTTTTAATCTTATTTTTAATAAACTTTTGAAACAACTCATTTTTATAATCTCTTTTGCATCTTTTAAATTGCTTTAAATAGTACATCCTATAACTTTGCAAGTTATAGAATGTAGTATTTGTCCAACGTGCATTCTTATGTTTCGTTTACGCGGGAGAAGTGGGACACCTTAAACATTCCAATTAGGTGAGGTATCTAATCAATGTGCAACCCCAACCCCCTCCCCCACCTCCGTAAAATCGCCTCTGATTCAGGCTAAACTGTCTAACTAGAGTTGACACCACTTTCAGGTAATTATAATTTGCGATTCTTGTCAAAATTTAGATAAATATCACACATATATATATAGTTCCCAGACTAGTTTCCTTAATTAACTTGAATTCAGACTCAGCAGTGACTTTGTCAGAGTTAAAAGATCTTAGATCCAAGCTTCAAGAAGATCAGGTAAGTTATTCAAAATTATTTGAACAGTTTATTCTTTCAATATTATTTTAAGATATTTAAATATTTGGTTTAAAGTGTGCAACACCGTAGACAACGCAACAAAACAAATTGATAAAACAATTAATACACTCACTCCATTAGAATTTAATCCAAATGTGTTGTAGTAGCAGCCGAATCTTTTTCAATGCTTTTGAAAAAAACAAATATTGTTTATCTAAAATATTAAGAATACTTTATTTAAAATATTAAATAGTTTTTTTTTGTTTTTGAAGTTTTTTGGTAACTATTTCTTTCTATTACAATGAAATGTCTAAAAAGAATTTAATTTTGTTTCTCATTGTTTGATTTTTACAATTTTCTAAAAAAATTTATGATTTTATCATAATCTAATATTTTTATGATAATTTTTAAATATTTTAAAATATTTTCTATCAATTTTGCATTTTTATATATTACAATTTTGAGCAATATTTTTATGACTAATTTTTTTAAGCATTTTCTAGCAATGTTACATTTTTATAAGAGTCTAATGTTTTTGAGCAATTTCTAGCATTATTACGTTTTATATCTCCTGTTTTTTGTAGCCATTCTTCCACAACAATCTTTAATTTAACATTTTTGAAACGTTTTTTATTTTTAAAAATTAAAAACAGAATTTGAGGAGTTTTGATACAACTTTGTATCAAGTATATTTAATAACTTTCAAAATGTTTTTTATACAGAATTAAGTTTTTTTTTTTATTTCCTAAAAGTGGGTTATTTTTTTTTTAAATGATTTTGAAATGTTCAAATGGTATCTACTTTGCATTTAAATTTTATTTTGTTATAAGTTAAATGAATATATACTTATTAAAATTACGAATTTAAAATTAGATTGCATTACTAATTCCCCAAAAAAATTTAAAAATAAAAAGTGAATCCCTATTTACTATATTTTAGTAAATAGGGATTCACTTTTTATTGTAAAACTACTATATTTTACTTTATTTACCCTGATTTTTATGAAATGCGTAGTGGTCATATATATATACGTAGTAACCCATCCACTATATGTATATATATATATATATATATATATATATATATATATATATATATATATATATATATATATATATATATATATATATATATATATATATATATATATATATATATATATATATATATATACATATATATATATATATATATATATATATATATATATATATATATATATATATATATATATATATATATATATACATATATATATATATATATATATATATATATATATATATATATATATATATATCGTGGGTGGAGTCACATATAAACATTTTTAATATACTGCAAAGTATTTTTGACCGTTTTATATCTCCTGTTAAAGTACAATTTTGTTTTGTTTGTTTTTTATTATGTTTTTTGGACCACTATGACTAACAACATAAGTAATTTTCGGTTTTTTTTTATTTTCTTAAACTGTATATAAATGTATATAAATTATATGAAAAAACAGGAGATCAGTTAGTTTTACATTTTTATATAAAGCAAAATATACTAAAAATATTCAGACAATCAAGATGAGCTCGTCATGTGCAAATGACTTTAAAATTCATAAAACTTGTCACATGCTTATGCTGACGATAAGGAGGCTCCAGTTTAAATTTATTGTTGCCCCAGGCAATATTTGCTAACTTTTGTAAAAATTAATGAAAGAGAAATATGAGTGAACTGTGTTTATTTTAAGTTCTTTAAGTACTTTTAGCAACTTTGTTACACAAGAATTCAACACAGTATTTCCAGGTAAGGTTTTCATTAATATAAAAACCTAAAAAGTTAGTATTTATCAACTTTTTTTTCCTAAACTTTGTCGATAAAAAGTAAAGACATGCCACAAGACAGTAAAACTTTTTCAGAAACAGTGTATGAAACAGTGTCCCATTTTTTAACACTCAATAACAACTTATTCATTTGAAACCAGACACAAATTTGTTAATTCGATATTTATATTTTGAAACAACGTTGTAACGCTGTTATGAGAAAAAAAGAGATTAGATTTGCTGGCAAAGCTGACGGTTATTAACATTTATGACGGTTATTAACATTTATGACGGTTATTAACTTTGACGGTTATTAAGTTTAAAGCTTTAAGGAAATCATAATTTTTACCGAAAAGGTATAATGGAGTGATAATAGCTGAAGTGAGAACGAAAAAAAAAAGTTACTTTTCTCTAATATACTTTTGTAATTACTAAAGTTTAATGAAATCTCGATTATAATAACTAAAGATTATCCAACCACACAAAACTTTCAAAACTAAAGATTATCCAATCACACTAAACTTTCCAAACTAAAGATTATCCAATCACACTAAAATTTCAAAACTAAAGATTATCCAAAAAGTTTTTATAAGAACGGGTGACACTGATGAAGAAATATAATTTGATTCGAGAAGTTGTAACTAGACATTTATTAATATTTGCTTAAAAAAATAGAACAGATGGATAAAAAAGCATAAATTACTTTAAAATTGGTAAGTATAGCTTTAAATGTAAACCCAACAAAGACTTTAACACACATAAAAAAAATAAAAATTGGAGGCTTCTAATAAGTTTGCGGTCAAAAAAACGTTTTTTAAGAATGTAAAAACCAAAATAACAATTAAATAACTAATTACCCAGTGGGCACCCGACGTCAATCCGACGTCGGATTTACGTACGATATTCATCAGCGTTGTCAAAAGACCTATTCCGACGTTGTTCCGATGTCAGTAAAATGACGTCGGGCGATGTCTTTATCTTAACATCCCCTGACGTCGTTTCGATGTATTTTGACGTTGTTCCGACATCTTATAAAAGACGTCCAAAAAACGTCGCAGTACTGACATCGATCCAACATCGATAAAAAGACGTCGGGCAACGTCATAATATTAACGTACTCCGATGTCTTTTGACGTCTTCCGACGTCAATCCAACGTTCTTAAAACAACGTCGGAACAACGTCGTAAGACATCGCTGATGAAAATTTAATCCAAACCCAACAATATGTGTGCAATTGCGCTCTTCAAGAAATATGTGAACTAAGCGTGTTTTTTATTAATGGAAAGAAGTTTGAATAATGGTTCATAAAACATCATTAGGTTTTGTATGATGCACTAGCATAGTTTTTTAACTATTAACATTTTCGAGTATACATTTTTTATAATATATAACTATTCGTTTTAATATTTATATAATATTTAAATAAAATTATTTCTTATCAAAGTAATAATTCCCAAATAGCTACAAGTATAAATTACTAAATTAGCTCAATAACTAATGTGTCCCTGTGGTGTAGTGGTAAGCGCGTAGGATTTAGATTCTATTGGACCGAGGTTCGATTCCTGCCGAAGGCAACGTTTATTAGTTTTCAAAAAACACATTGGATTTACATCGGAATGCCGACGTCGCGCGATATCAGTTTATCCGACGTCAAATAACATTTCCATTTCCAACGTAAACCCAACGTCGATCCGACGTCGAGATCCGACGTCGCTCGACGTTCGTTCGACGTCGAAATGCCCACTGGGTAAATAACTAAATAACTAAATGAATAACTAAATAACTAATTTACAGCTAAACTAAAAAAAAATTTTTATATTGGTTGTAGATATTCTCTAAAATTTTTATACTTATAATCAAGGTACGGGAAGAAACAATTTGCGGCCGTGAGGCAGTGGTTAGAGCCCTTGCTTATAAGCAGGAGATCCAGGTTCGAAGCGAGCTCTGAA